GTACGTGAAGAACCAGTGGCATCTACATCTGCAGAACGTGAAGAACCAGTGGCATCTACATCTGCAGAACGCGAAGAACCAGTGGCATCTACATCTGCAGAACGTGAAGAACCAGTGGCATCTACATATACAGAACGTGAAGAACCAGTGACATCTACATCTGCAGAACGTGAAGATCCAGTGGCATCTACATCTGTAGAACGTGAAAAACCAGTGGCATCTACATCTGTTGAACGTGAAGAACCAGTGGCATCTACATCCACAGAACGTGAAGAACCAGTGACATCTACATCTGTAGAAGGTGAAGAACCAGTGGCATCTACATCCGCAGAACATGAAGAACCAGTGGCGTCTACATCTACAGAACCTGAAGAACCAGTGGCATCTACATCTGCAGAACTTGAAGAACCAGTGGCATCTACATCTGCAGAACGTGCAAAACCAGTGGCATCTACATCTGCAGAACGTGAAGAACCAGTGACATCTACATCTACGGAACGCGAAGAACCAGTGGCATCTACATCTACAGAACGTTTAGAACCAGTGGCATCTACATCTACAGAACGTGAAGAACCAGTTGCATCTACATCTACAGAACGTGAAGAACCAGTGGGATTTACATCAGAACGTGAAGAACCAGTGGAATCTACATCTGTAGAACGTGAAGAACCAGTGGCATCTACATCTACAGAACGCGAAGAACCAGTGGCATCTACATCTGTAGAACGTGGAAAACCAGTGGCATCTACATCTGCAGAACGTGAAGAACCAGTGGCATCTACATCTGCAGAACGTGAAGAACCAGTGGGATCTACATCCGCAGAACGTGAAGAACCAGTGGCATCTACATCTGCAGAACGTAAAGAACCAGTGACATCTACATCTACGGAACGTGAAGAACCAGTGGCATCTACATCTACAGAACGTGCAGAACCAGTGACATCTACATCTACAGAACGTGAAGAACCAGTGGCATCTACATCTGCAGAACGTGAAGAACCAGTGGCATCTACATCTGTAGAACGTGAAGAACCAGTGGCATCTACATCTGCAGAACGTGTAGAACCAGTGGCATCTACATCTGCAGAACGTGAAGAACCAGTGGCATCTACATCCGCAGAACGTGAAGAACCAGTGGCATCTACATCTGCAGAACGTAAAGAACCAGTGACATCTACATCTACGGAACGTGAAGAACCAGTGGCATCTACATCTACAGAACGTGAAGAACCAGTGGCATCTACATCTGCAGAACGTGAAGAACCAGTGGCATCTACATCTGCAGAACGTGAAGAACCAGTGGCATCTACATCTGCAGAACGTGAAGAACCAGTGGCATCTACATCTGCAGAACGTGAAGAACTAGTGGCATCTACATCTGCAGAACGTGAAGAACCAGTGGGCATCTACATCTGCAGAACGTGAAGAACCAGTGGCATCTACAGAATGTGAAGAACCAGTGGCATCTACATCTACAGAACGTGAAGAACCAGTGGCATCTACATCTACAGAACGTGAAGAACCAGTGGCATCTACATCTGCAGAACGTGAAGAACCAGTGGCATCTACATCTGCAGAACGTGAAAAACCAGTGGCATCTACATCTGTAGATCGTGAAGAACCAGTGGGCATCTCCATCTGCAGAACGTGAAGAACCAGTGGCAGCTACATCTGCAGAACGTGAAGAACAAGTGGCATCTACATCTGTAGAACCTGAATAACCAGTGGCATCTACATCTGTAGAACGTGAAGAACCACTGCCATCTACATCTGCAGAACGTGAAGAACCAGTGGCATCTACATCTACAGAACGTGAAGAACCAGTGGCATCTACATCTGTAGAATGTGAAGAACCAGTGGCATCTACATCTGCAGAACCTGAAGAACCAGTGGCATCTACATCTGCAGAACCTGAAGAACCAGTGGCATCTACATCTGCAGAACGTGAAGAACCAGTGGCATCTACATCTGCAGTACGTGAAGAACCAGAGGCATCTACATCGGTAGAACGTGATGAACCAGTGGCATCTAAATCTACAGAATGTGAAGAACCAGTGGCATCTACATCTGTAGAACGTGAAGAACCAGTGGCATCTACATCTGCAGAACATAAAGTACCAGTGGCATCTACATCTGCAGAACGTGAAGAACCAGTGGCATCTATATCTGCAGAACATCAAGTACCAGTGGCATCTACATCTGCAGTACGTGAAGAACCAGTGGCATCTACATCTGCAGAACGTGAAGAACCAGTGGCATCTACATCTGCAGAACGCGAAGAACCAGTGGCATCTACATCTGCAGAACGTGAAGAACCAGTGGCATCTACATATACAGAACGTGAAGAACCAGTGACATCTACATCTGCAGAACGTGAAGATCCAGTGGCATCTACATCTGTAGAACGTGAAAAACCAGTGGCATCTACATCTGTTGAACGTGAAGAACCAGTGGCATCTACATCCACAGAACGTGAAGAACCAGTGACATCTACATCTGTAGAAGGTGAAGAACCAGTGGCATGTACATCTACAGAATGTGAATAACCAGTGGCATCTACATCTGCAGAACGTGAAGAACCAGTGGCATCTACATCTGCAGAACGTGAAGAACTAGTGGCATCTACATCTGCAGAACGTGAAGAACCAGTGGGCATCTACATCTGCAGAACGTGAAGAACCAGTGGCATCTACAGAATGTGAAGAACCAGTGGCATCTACATCTGCAGAACGTGAAGAACCAGTGGCATCTACATCTGTAGAACGTGAAGAACCAGTGGGCATCTCCATCTGCAGAACGTGAAGAACCAGTGGCATCTACAGAATGTGAAGAACCAGTGGCAGCTACATCTGCAGAACGTGAAGAACAAGTGGCATCTACATCTGTAGAACCTGAATAACCAGTGGCATCTACATCTGTAGAACGTGAAGAACCAGTGCCATCTACATCTGCAGAACGTGAAGAACCAGTGGCATCTACATCTACAGAACGTGAAGAACCAGTGGCATCTACATCTGTAGAACGTGAAGAACCAGTGGCATCTACATCTGCAGAACCTGAAGAACCAGTGGCATCTACATCTGCAGAACCTGAAGAACCAGTGGCATCTACATCTGCAGAACGTGAAGAACCAGTGGCATCTACATCTGCAGAACGTGAAGAACCAGAGGCATCTACATCGGTAGAACGTGATGAACCAGTGGCATCTAAATCTACAGAATGTGAAGAACCAGTGGCATCTACATCTGTAGAACGTGAAGAACCAGTGGCATCTACATCTGCAGAACATAAAGTACCAGTGGCATCTACATCTGCAGAACGTGAAGAACCAGTGGCATCTATATCTGCAGAACATCAAGTACCAGTGGCATCTACATCTGCAGTACGTGAAGAACCAGTGGCATCTACATCTGCAGAACGTGAAGAACCAGTGGCATCTACATCTGCAGAACGCGAAGAACCAGTGGCATCTACATCTGCAGAACGTGAAGAACCAGTGGCATCTACATATACAGAACGTGAAGAACCAGTGACATCTACATCTGCAGAACGTGAAGATCCAGTGGCATCTACATCTGTAGAACGTGAAAAACCAGTGGCATCTACATCTGTTGAACGTGAAGAACCAGTGGCATCTACATCCACAGAACGTGAAGAACCAGTGACATCTACATCTGTAGAAGGTGAAGAACCAGTGGCATGTACATCTACAGAATGTGAATAACCAGTGGCATCTACATCTGCAGAACGTGAAGAACCAGTGGCATCTACATCTGCAGAACGTGAAGAACTAGTGCCATCTACATCTGCAGAACGTGAAGAACCAGTGGGCATCTACATCTGCAGAACGTGAAGAACCAGTGGCATCTACAGAATGTGAAGAACCAGTGGCATCTACATCTGCAGAACGTGAAGAACCAGTGGCATCTACATCTGTAGAACGTGAAGAACCAGTGGGCATCTCCATCTGCAGAACGTGAAGAACCAGTGGCATCTACAGAATGTGAAGAACCAGTGGCATCTACATCTGCAAAACGTGAAGAACAAGTGGCATCTACATCTGCAGAACGTGAAGAACCAGTGGCATCTACATCTACAGAACGTGAAGAACCAGTGGCATCTACATCTGTAGAACGTGAAGAACCAGTGGCATCTACATCTACAGAACGTGAAGAACCAGTGGCATCTACATCTACAGAACGTGAAGAACCAGTGGCATCTACATCTACAGAATGTGAAGAGCCAGTGACATCTACATCTGTAGAAGGTGAAGAACAAGTGGCGTCTACATCTACAGAACGTGAAGAACCAGTGGCATCTACATCTACAGAACGTGAAGAACCAGTGGCATCTACGTCTGCAGAACGTGAAGAACCAGTGGCATCTACATCTACAGAACGTGAAGAACCAGTGACATCTACATCTGTAGAACGTGAAGAACCAGTGGCATCTACATCTGTAGAACGTGAAGAACCAGTGTCATCTACATCTGTAGAAGGTGAAGAACCAGCGGCATCTACATCTGCAGAACGTGAAGAACCAGTGGCATCTACATCTACGGAACGTGAAGAACCCGTGACATCTACATCTACAGAACGTGAAGAACCAGTGGCATCTACATCTACAGAACGTGAAGAACCAGTGGCATCTACATTTGTAGAACGTGAAGAACCAGTGGCATCTACATCTGTAGAAGGTGAAGAACCAGCGGCATCTACATCTGCAGAGCGTGAAGAACCAGTGACATCTACAGAACGTGAAGAACCAGTGGCATCTACATCTACAGGAGATTATACAACTTTAAAGCCGTCCCCCGTGTTTAGTGTACATGCCGTACAACGCATTTGAAATTGACAGGAATTAAAGCTGCACTTACGAACAAATCGACTTACTAACCGACCTATGGACCCTGACTTGTTCGTGAGTAGCGACGTCCCCGTACTGACAAATACAGCCAGACAGAGGGAGACCTTGACCGAGGGTGTGAACTCAGGTGTCACCTTGCTCTGTGAGGTGAACATCATCACCCAGCTTCTCGTACGTGGCCAGTTCCTGATGAAACACAAACACACACACAGGGACTTACACACAGAGACTCACACACAAACACACAGAGACTTACACACAGAGACTTACACACACACACAGAGACTTACACACAGAGACTTACACACACACACAGAGACTTACACACACACACACAGACTTACACACAGAGACTTACACACAGAGACTTACACACAGAGACTTACACACAGAGACTTACACACACAGACTTACACACACACACAGAGACTTACACACACATAGACTTACACACACACACACACACAGACTTACACACAGAGACTTACACACACACAGACTTACACACAGAGACTTACACACACACACAGAGACTTACACACAGAGACTTACACACACACAGAGACTTACACACAGAAACTTACACACACACAGAGACTTACACACAGAGACTTACACACACACACAGAGACTTACACACAGAGACTTACACACACACAGAGACTTACACACAGAGACTTACACACACACAGAGACTTACACAAACACAGACTTACACACAGAGACTTACACACAGAGACTTACAAACACACACAGACTTACACACAGAGACTTACACACACACAGGGACTTACACACAGAGACTTACACACACAGACTTCCACACACACACACACAGGGACTTACACACAGAGACTTACACACACAGACTTACACACACACAGAGACTTACACACACACAGACTTACACACACAGACTTCCACACAGATACATACACACACAGACTTACACACACACACAGACTTACACACACACACACACAGACTTACACACAGAGACTTACACACACAGACAGAGACTCACACACACAGACAGAGACTTACACACACACAAAGACTTACACATACACACACACAGACAGAGACTCACACACACAGACAGAGACTTACACACACACACAGACTTACACACATAGAGACTTACACACACAGAGACTGACACACACACAGAGACTTACACACACAGAGACAGAGGTTTACACACACAGAGACTTACACACACACAGACTTACACACACAGACAGAGACTTACACACAAACACAGACAGAGACTTACACACACACAGAGACTTACACATACTTACACACACACATAGACTTAAACACACACAGACATACACACACACACAGACAGAGACTTACACACACAGAGACTTACACACACACTTACACACACACACAGAGACTTACACACACAGAAACTTACACACGCAGAAACTTACACACACATAGACTTACACACACAGACAACAGCAACAACTGCCATTCGCCATTAAGTGGCGGTGACGTCACCACGATGTGCCAGGCCATGTGCACCTTGAGGCCACGTGAAGTGTCAAACGCCCGCTGGCAGGAGGTCACGGTGCAGACCCAGGTGCCACAGGTCGAATGATTGAGATAACTGGCTGATGCACCACCTGTGCCCCCTACTGTGCCAACCTGCTGTGCTTTAGCCACCCGGGGCTCCACTCGTTGTTGTTGGAGGGTGACTGCCTCCAACTGCCCAGTAGCGTCCTTCACGAGCCTCCTCCACAGAGGCCGATCTTGACATCGCTGGTACCAGTCATCGGCAAGACCACTCAGCTCCACGTCCTCTCGTACCACATCACTCCATCTCTTCTCTAGCCCGTGCCGCTCCCGTTTAGCCCCCTCAATCCGGCCGAACAAAAGCTGTTTTGGCATGCGGTGGCTGGGCATGCGGGCTACATGAACCAGCCAACGCAACCTTGCCCGCCGGAGGAGGTCACCGATGGGACCTTGCCCGGATCTTTCAAAGATTTGGATCATCAGGCTAGCCTAAATGTTTCTAACCAGCGAAGATGTTCCATTAGGGGAGTCCATGTTTCGCAAGCGTAGAGAAGGGAGGGAATGACCGTGGCCGAGAAGACCTGAAGCTTAGTGTGGAGTGACAAACCAGGTAGCTTCCACATAGCGTTACACAACCGATGAAAAGATATTGCTGCTCGACTGATTCGGAGTGATACCTCTGCTGTTAAACTGGAACCGGTCATAAGCACACTGCCCAGGTATGGGAAACTCTCCACTCTCTCCACAACTGCCCCATCACCGATTGGGAGTTGTTGGGGTGGAGTGTCCGATGGTACAAAATACCCAGGCAGGTGCTTAGTTTTGGTGGGGCTGATGGTAAGGCCCCATCTCTAAGTGTCACGCTCCAGTCTCAGCAGCAGCGTCTCCAACTCCTCCTCTGAATGAGCAGCTATTACCAAATCATCGGCATACATAACGTGGTTGAGCAATAGGGAGCCATCCCTTGACCGCACCCGGGCATCGATCAGCCTCCCATTATATCTGTACCAAATGGAGATTCCCCCGGTACAGCTATTGAAGGCTTCACGAACTACATGGTCAAAATAGATGTTAAATAATGTGGGAGCCAGAGGACATCCCTGTCGCACCCCAAGGTGTACAGGGAATGGCTCTGACTCCCGGCCACGTAGTTTTACCCGGGCCCGCTCACCATCATGAAGCTGCTTAACCACGTGGGAACTTATCATCATCACGTGGGACGCCATAGCAGAAGCCATATCCTCTGAACCCACGTTTATAGAACTGTAGAGACCCACAGAGACCCACAGAGTCCCATACAGAGTCCACACAGAGAACCGTGCTCATAGAGACCCGTACTAAAACTAGAAACAATGTTTTACTTTGACAGGGTAAGCAAGGTCCGCTGAGCTACGTAGCTCGTAATTTTTTACAGAAGCCATCACAAAGAATGGCGGCTCAACCACGTGTGAGCTCATCATCATCACGTGGGACGCCATAGCAGAAGCCATTTTCTCTTAACGCACGTTTATAGACCCGGAGAGCCTCACAGAGACCCACGCAGAGATCCGTGCTCATAGAGACCCGTGCTAAAACCATACACGCTTTTTTGCTTCGCCAGAACAGGAAGGTGCTGTTAAACGCTACGCGCCAAGTTTTTCACAGAAGCGAAACTGCCCACCATAAACTTGACGATTTCTCCGGCAAGTGGAGGGCCCTTTATTTCGACCCAATGCCCGTAAGCCGTAGCCGTGAAAAACAACAGTGGTGGGGGCCAAATCTTCCAGGTGGTCTGGGGGTCACACCCCCCTTACCCCCCAGAAAAATAAAAAAAAATACTAAATTTGAAAACGAATTTCCTGCCTTAAATATTGTACAATTCACTAACACGTAGGATGGACTTTTAAAAAAGAAAATATTATTTAACAATAATGTCTTAACAGTGTGATTGTATTTACACTCCTCTGTATTTTTAAAAATATTTTTAACCTTTTCTTGTTCCATTGTATGTTAACGGCAGAGAGATTATGGATTTATAAAGTACAACCATAACCACAATCATGCGAACGTACATCGATTTTATAGCAAAGGCATTACGGCCTTGTTACGATCTATCGTCGCCGTCGTCACCGCGGGGGGAGTTTATAGCCGCAGCAAAAAGTAAACACCACGGCCACTACACACGTGACCCTGGGCGTGGAGGGGCAGACACAAGAAATTCATGGTACACGCGACCACGGTGGGAAACATTCAACCACCCGACCACCCGACACAGCCAACTTGTAAGGGTTGTCACGTACACAGAATGGAGTCAATTCGTCACTAGTACGGCACTAGTGTGTAGCGTAGTGTGTAGTGTAGTGTACTAGTGCAGCACTAGTGTGTAGTGTAGTGTGTAGTGTAGTGTATAGTGTAGTGTAGTGTGTAGTGTACTAGTACAGCACTAGTGTGTAGTGTAGTGTGTAGTGTAGTGTACTAGTACAGCACTAGTGTGTAGTGTAGTGTGTAATGTAGTGTACTAGTACAGCACTAGTGTGTAGTGTAGTGTCTAGTGTAGTGTACTAGTACAGCACTAGTGTGTAGTGTAGTGTATAGTGTAGTGTACTAGTACAGCACTAGTACAGCACTAGTGTAGAGTGTGGTGTATAGTATAGTGTATAGTGTAGTGTATAGTGTATTGTATAGTGTAGTGTATAGTGTAGTGTATAGTGTAGTATACTAGTACAGCACTAGTGTGTAGTGTAGTGTATAGTGTAGTGTATAGTGTAGTATACTAGTACAGCACTAGTGTATAATGTAGTGTATAGTGTAGTATACTAGTACAGCACTAGTGTATAGTGTAGTGTATAGTGTAGTATATAGTGTAGTATCTAGTGTAGTATACTAGTACAGCACTAGTGTATAGTGTAGTGTATAGTGTAGTGTATAGTGTAGTATACTAGTACAGCACTAGTGTATAGTGTAGTGTATGGTGTAGTATATAGTATACTAGTACAGCACTAGACACCCATAGAGATCCATAGAGACCCACAGAGCCATAGAGATCCACAGTAACCCACAGAGACCCACAGAGACCCACAGAGACCCATAGAGACCCACAGAGACCCACAGAGACCCACAGAGAGCCACAGAGACCCATAGAGACCCACAGAGACCCACATAGTCCCACAGAGACCCACAGAGACCCACAGAGACCCACAGAAACCTATAGAGACCCACAGAGACCCACAGAAACCCACAGAGCCCCACAGAGACCCACAGAGTCCCACAGAAACCCACAGAGCCCCACAGAGACCCACAGAGACCCACAGAAACCCACAGAGCCCCACAGAAACCCACAGAGACCCACAAGGTCCCACAGAGACCTATAGAGACCCACAGAGCCCCACAGTGTCCCCCAGAGACCCACAGAAACCCATAGAGACCCACAGAGAGCCACAGTCGTAGAGACCCACACTGGACCTCTAAAATCTTGTCACTTGACCAGGATAAGTCCCCGATGAGCTGCTGAGGCATAGCTCTTTTAATCAGGCGTGAAACTGCCCATTACAGATTACAGATAGCGCAACCAAGTGGTAGCTTCATCTTCATCATCATCGTCATCATCACGTGGACATTCATAGCTGCCGCATACTTCTCTCCGTGCGTCTATAACTTCGTCGCGACGAAACACGAAACGG